ATACTCTTTTTTACAAACACTCTCGCCCAAGTGGAGTCACTATTCTTTTAGTATATGTAGATGATATCATTGTGATCGACTGATCGGTAATGATCCGGTTACGAAACAACGTCTTGAGAGGCAGCTGAAATCCCAATTTGAGATGAAGTCTCTGGGCCCTCTAAAATAATTTCTTGGAATTGAAGTTGCTCTCTCATCTGATGGCATTTTATCAGCCAACAAAAGTACGTTACAGATTTGCTAAGTGAGACTGGTAAGAGTGTTTGTCGACCGGTTACTGCACCTATGGATCCTAATCATAAGCTTGGACTTGATATTGATGAATCCAAGGTTGATTCATCAATGTATCAACGTTTGTGTGGCAAGCTTATCTATCTCTCTCATATCAGACCCGACATTGCCTATGTGGTTAGTGTCCTGAGCTAGTTCATGCATGACCCAAGGAAATTGCATCTAGAAGCAGCATATAGGGTTCTACACTACCTAAAAGGAAGTCCAGGACAAGGAATAGTATTCAGGAAGGGTGGGCAATTATCAGTCCAAGCCTTCACTGATGCAGATTATGGTAGCTCTCTCGTTGACCGCCGGTTACCAGTTTCTGTGTTTTCCTAGCAGGAAACCTTGTGACATGGAGAAGCAAAAAACAGAATGTTGTGGCACGATCATCTGTTGAATTTGAGCTAAGAGCCCTTGCCCATGGCTTGCGTGAACTTCTATGGATCAGAATTATTCTCTCAGATTTACGAATCATGTGGAAGGGACCAATGGAATTAAGGTGTGATAACAAATCAGCAATCAACATAGCTCATAATCCAATCCAACATGATCAGACCAAGCATATTGAGATTGATCAGCACTTCATCAAAGAAAAGGTTGATGGATGTCTGATTGAACTAAGCTACACTCCCTCAGAGGATCAAGTTGCAGATGTGTTTACCAAACCTCTGCACAGTCCTAGGTTTCAGAGTCTTATTGTCAAGCTAGCTAGGCATGAAGGATATCTACAAACCTAGCTGAGGGGGAGTGTTGATGAAACGAAGAGACATCATTAATCTGGGATTTACTTTCCTTGTTATTATTGTAATTATGAGTCTTTAGTTCTTCAGGTTGTAATTAATAGTTGTTGTCCTTTCAGTTTCTAATCATTTATCTTTAGTATTTTTGACAGTCACCTAGGATACTCACCTAGGATACTGATTAGACACTCTCAGGCTTCTACCTATATATATATAGGTTTGTACTTCTTGTAAATGGATTATCGATTAATAATAATATAGAGATTCATAACTGATCAATCGAATATGAACAGTTGCAAGGGACCAAATGCAGATATGATCAAATTTAATACTTCATCCATACGGAGCCAACAGAGTTGACCTTATATATTTCGAACAAATAAGTACACATCGAATAAAACTTGGTAACTCTCGTGTCTAAAAACTTTTAAACATGAATCTATCTTCCCAACAACATAAGATGGGCTCAAATAGATTAGGAAAAGTACATAAAAGGGAAAACTGTCAAATAAGTTCTCATACTATATCAAAAAAGTCAATCAAGTCCTCCAACTATAAATTCACCCAATTAGCTCCTTAAACTATATACAAATGTTCAATTTCTCTTTTTAGCCGGTTTGGTAGAGATTGTCCGATAATTGTCCCGTGTTTTTTATGTGGTGGGCCACTTGGCTTTAATAATTTCTTTTCGGGAAAACTATCAAATTGGCTCTCGTAGTATTCAAAAAAATCAATTAAGCCCCCCGAATTAAAAACACAATCAATTTAGACCTCAAACTTTACAAAAACATTTAAAATCAAAATTTAAGAGGTTATTTGCCGCCTTGCCGGTCAACCGGTCACTTGTCTGCCTCGCTTGTTTTTTAATTTTTCATTTTCTTTTTTTCTCCTTTTTTCACCTTTCGCCAGCATCTTTCTTTCTCTCCCCTTTTTCTCTCTTTTCTCGCCGCCTCATCGGTTCTTGTTTCTTCTTCCTCCTATACCTCCCTCCTTCTTTTATATTTCTCTTGTTCTTTCTCCTTTTTCTTATTCCTCCCCAAACCTTCCCTTCTTCTTTCTTGCGAACAGAGCGAACCCCTGAACTTTGTCCACTGTCGATGACTTATCTTCCTTGCTGGCGACTTGGGCGGCAGAGCTATTGAGCTTCCTCGTCGGCAGAGACGACTTCGTCTTCAACACAGGCCATTGGCGAGATAGTACAAATTAGTGTAGGATATCACCGACGACTTCTTCATGTTGCCTTTGAAATCGACGACATCGATCTATCTGAAATCCATGGCGCCATAGTTTCTTGTCTGGGAGAAGTAAGAAGCAGGGAGTGGCCGTAATTCCTTTTCTGGATGAAAAAGAAACAGGGGGGAAAGGATGTCGTACACTCGTACTATTCTCCTATTTGGTTGTCTCGAAGAAGGTGTAGAAGAATGGGGGATTGGGGATTGCAAAAGAAGTGGGTGGAGAAGAATGGGGGATTAGGAGCGGCCGAAGAAGAAGAAGTGGGTGGAGAAAAATGGAGAAAAGGAAAAAACGATTAAAATAATCTATTTGGACTGCGGACTGATGTTTCTTTACTTCTCTCTAATTCCTTCTTCATTTTTTCATTATTTAAGCTTGTCGTTGGTTTACTATGTGGTCGGTGATTTATTTTTCTTGCCGGCGGAGGAATTGGTTCATTGGTTCCATAACTTCCATCCCGTGTGTGGACGAGGGAGATGATGGTGAACTCGGACATGACTCCACGTTTCACAAGTATTTACCATTGTTGTGTAAGATGGAATAGAATTAAAAGAAGTAGATGTAGAATACAGAGTATTAGAGAAGAATAAAAAAAATATAGAAAAGTGAAAGAGTAAAAAAAGGGAGAAGTCCAGGAGAAAGAGGAAAGGATGAGCTCCATGGATATGTGTTCCCATCTGATTCGCTTTGGATTCATTTGTACAGTCATCCCTCATTCATATGCATTTGAAGTGCAATAACTTAAAACACACGCACAAGGTGTTTGATACAATGCCTGACCGGGATGTCATTAGTTGGAGTGCCTTGGCAGCATGTTGAATATAGAAAAAGAAAGGGAAAAACGAGAAAATGAAAGAAAAAAAAGCCACCTGGACACTAAATGAGAAATAGTTACCCACAACTTGATAGTTACCGGTTAAAAGTGTGGATTGCTTTTTTTCATTAGTTGGTGTACCTAATTGGGTGATTTAATAGTACATGGACTTAATTGACTTTTTTGACATAGTACGAGTTTGATAGTTTTCCCTACATAAAATGTACGTGTACGTTGGTTGGATCCGTTTTAAGATAGGGGGTTTGTGTTTCATTTCTTAACAAAGTAGGGCATATAATTCAATTCTGTAATCATAGGAGGGGCCTGGCGCTTAACGCCGCAGAAAATCACCGGAGGAAGACGATGAACAGTAACTCCAGTTTTCAAAAGTGATTGAAAAACTAAAAGAAGAATACGAAGAGGGGTGCATCGTCAAGGAGACCTCCAAACCATCTTCCTCTTTGGATTTCTCATATCTGTTTTTTATTATTTTTTAAAAACGAAATTGTTAATATCACTTTTCCGGTAGATTGTCCGGCGACAAGAGTGGCTAGAAACAAAAAAGAAAGATGTCCTGGAGGTCGCCTTGATGAGACAAACCTCCCAGTATTTTTCTTTGAATTTTCCGAGCACTTACGAAAACTGCATTTACTATTCATCGTCTTCCTCTGGAGATTCTAACGGTGTTAGGCGCCGAGCCTCTCCTATGATAACGGAATTGAAACACATAACCTACTTGATGAAAAATGAAACAAGGGCTCCTATTTGAAAATGGGCTCAACCATAACCACAGATTATCGAATCTGCCACTTCGTCCATGTGGAGTCAACAAAGTTCACTTTATATATTTTGGTCAAATAAGTACACATCCTTCAAAATTTGGAAACTTTAGTCTCTATAGTTATTTTAGATCTTAAATTTAGGTTTCAAACGACATAAAATGGGCTCAAATGGATTATTCTACAGTTAGATATCACCAAACCTAACACTTTGTTTGTACGGAGTAAACAAGGTTGGCTTTATATATTTCAGTCAAATAAGTATAAGTATGCATCCTTTAAAATTTGGAAACTTTAGTCTCCACAAAAGTTTTAGGGATTGAAATTATATTTACAGTGACATAAAATGGGATCAAGTGGATCATGTTAAAGTTAGATTGGATCAAATGTAACACTGTCCCGTAGGAAGTAAACAAATCTAACTTCATGTTTTATCGGTAAATACGTACGCATCCTTTGAAAAAATTAGAAACTATAATCTTTATTAATAGGATAATTTGGAGGACTAGACTAATTAACCAAATGCATAGGAGGTCATGCCTAGTGGCATAATTGCCCTTTGCCACACATAATTAGTGGGGCTTGGGGGTCATTACTCATTAACACAAAGACATAAACTGGTAAAGGAAGCCTAATGGGAGTGGTGGCCCCTATTACGCCTTCATCTATCCTTTCAAATTTTTATATATTGAGGCCTTTATTCTTTTCTTTTGTACTGAAAAGGGTTCACTTGTAAGCTTAAATAATTCCCCGCTGACTTTCAGGTAAAATGCGCAAGTACACTCCCAAATGTTTAGTCCTACATGCGAATTCGCCCCAAAGGTTTTTTGAGGAGAAAGTAAGCCTCTAACATCTCAAGGCTAATTTGCACAGGAGACTAAACATTAGGGATCTATAAGTCTATTAGCATCTTTTCCCTTTTTTAAAAGCCATGTCAAACCCCAATGCATCTTATAATTTAGTACAGAGGCAATATGACCCTAGACTCCTCGTTAATACGTTGTTCAAATTAAACCCAGAGACTACAATGGTAATTTTTAAAATGTGACACTAAAAAAACAAAGTTGTAATTGATGTCGAAATAGTATCTTTTTTTTTCAAATGAGAGTGCTGGACCTTAAAACTAAAGGTTGAGCCCTGTGAGTAAGTGAGGCATACCTTCAATTTGCAATTAATACTGTAATTTGAAGACTTCTCAAGCAAAGTCCCATCTTCTAGTGTACCAGCCTATAAGATATATTTTCCCAAATGAGTGAAAGCAAAAAAAACATTGAAGTGCAAAAGCGTAATGTCAGTTCTTTTATTATCCCAATTGTGTTCCCATTAGTACTAAAGGATGAGGGATGTTTCTATTATATTCTACAACTCACGTCCATTGATTGAAATATCTCCTTGGTGACAAAATCAGTGACCTCTTGTGCATGGACTTCAAAGGCTGCAACAGAATATCGTGCCAAGCATCCCAAGGATTGCAAAACAGTAGGAATATGGCACCACATATGTAGAGATTCCACAAGTTTCTAAACACATTAAGAAGCAAAGAAGAAATGGTCACCTCATACAGTGGAATTTTAGACAAGTCTTGATTCAATATGTCCACGCATAATTTTTGGTAAAAGCGATAAAGAATGATAAGTAAGCTTTTTGCAGAATACAGGTGTAACTTTTCTTTCTGTTTGTTGTCTTGTTTATTCCAACATAAAAAATATCTTGTCTACCAATGATATGTTGTCCAAATTGAAGGAAATTGGTTGCCCCTATGAAAGGTCTCCATGTTTCAATATTAAGGATGGATAAGATCAAGAAAGCTACCCCCAAATAGGGTCTGATAGTACCTTGACTCCACCTCTGGATGAGATCGTAGAGTGTTGACCATTGAGCCTGGGACACCAAACAGGTAAACCAAATCGGTGTAGACAGGACTAGCAGATATCTCCTTCACTTTAGCAGCAGGTATCATACATGTCAGTAGGTTGCTTAAGAGTACACTCAGACTTTGGGTGGAGATTATCTTGAAAATTTTGCTCCAGTTGTGAAAATGAATGCTAATGATTCTGTTAGCATTGGCTGCTCAATTTAATTGCCCACTACATTATGAATTAAAGATTGCATTCTTGCATGGCTACTTAGAAGAGACGATCTACACGAGTACTTCACCAGGTTTTGTCAAAATTACATGCGAGATGAGCAAAGCCCTTTTGAAATAATCTCCAAGAGCATGGTACTGAAGATTTCCTAAATCTGTGAAGGAATCTCGGCATAATAAACAATGTTAAGGCGAGCACACTATTTTCATTAAGAAATCTGCTACAAGGAGAGTGAGTTCTCTTCCAGTCTATGTAGATGGTGCCAAAGTGACCGGAACAACAAGTTTCTTGGCATTAGAGTGGTATATTCCACTCATCTTCACAGCTCAGCAAAAGCATGACCCACTGAATCAGTGATTTACTGGCAGAAACAGTAAAGATTGGCTGTGAACCAATCACTGCTCAGTTGATCACAACCATAAGTTATGAGAAGCTGAAGAACCAGGTAGTCGATAAAAGAATGTATCCGAGGTTGATTACTTGGTGGTGAACTCATATAACTTGCACATACTGGGCCAGACATAGCATAATCCTTGAGTTCAATCAGTCAACTTATTCAAGAACCGAGAGAACCTCATCTTCAAGCATCTTAGAGAGTACTGCACTGCTTGAAAGGCGATCAAGGGACAGGATTTTGTTCAACAAAATTAAAACTCTTGTGCTAGAAGCTTATACTGATGAATAGAAGATCAACTACAGTGTAGTACTGTAGTGTACTCCCTTGAATGTAATCGGATGACACGGAGGAGCAAGGAACAGAATGTAATGACAATGTCATCTGCAGAATATCGCTCATGGAAAATGTGAACTACTTTGGATGAAGATCATTTTAGATGATTTCAGAGTTGAATAAGGTGCCCTGTGAAGCTTTATTGTTACACAAAGTAAGCTGTAACTATAGCTCATAACCCAGGACCTCAAGACAACAAGATAGGGCAACACATTTTGAACTTGATAAACCTTTATCCAAGAAAATTTGGAAGAAGGGTTAGTGTGTACGTCTAGTGTCAATTATTGATGATCTAACAATGGGACATAACAACTAAAGTTTCTACGATCTAGTATCCATGCTAGGAATGGAAGACATATATTCCTCATCTTGAGGGGGGTGTCAAGATTTGAATGATATATATTATATAAGCTTTTCCATAAGCTGAGAGGTTTGTTAGATAGGTAAATAGAATTGACTTGTAATACCATAAGCTGAGAGGTTTGTTAGATAGTTATGCAGGGATTTGTCCGGATTAGGGAGTCATTTAGTTTCGTTTAATTTCCCCTAGTATTCTACTATATAATGTTTTATAGTCTTACAATCAAGATTCAAGACATGAAGAAAACTCAGAAGGTTTTGTTCTTAGAATTCTGCAGCCCTTAGCCTAACACAGATATGGCAACAGAGACATCCTTCCAAAGTTCCAACTTCCAAGAGCATACCATCCCACATATCTTGCCTTGAGAACCATAATTTGGAATTGGGGTTAGCACATAAGTTCTAAAAGTGGAGGCATGGAGCTTATAACTGCTTCAAAGAAAGAAAAAAAATTAACTCCTCAACAGAAACCAATGGTTCAACAACAATCAACAAGCCACTGTCATGGAGTTTCCCAGCCCCCCTTGGATTCCATAAAGACAATCAATCAGTTGTTTTCTGGAACCATTATCCTCCCCGTCCTTGATGAGTAACAACCTCACCATTTGCACTATCTTCTGAGGAGGAGATTTCTCATGAGCAACAGTTTGTGGAGTTAGATTAGCTTTAGTACATTCAGCATTATCTACATCCCACTACTACAACTGTGTTATTAACTACAAGGCTAGTTTCTTCAAGATCCCAACTGCAATAAAAAAATCCTTTTCCTGAACAGGGTCTTCCACATCGACCTTCTTAGGAGCATAAATTTGTTGCAGCTTAGCTGGTTAATACAGCACATGTTCTACGCAACCTGATGATCAGCTTCCACCGAAGTCTTCCAATAACATTGATGGAAATCATGCCCCCAAATGCGTACAAAAGAATCAGATTAGGATATTGATCATATCCCAACCCAATTCTTTCCAAATACAGATCTCAGCCTAGTCCTAATGGCAGGAACCTCAAGGGACGTCTATGCAAGAACCTCAAAGGATTCAGCAATCAGATTGAAATGTATATCATGCATACCTTAGGATGCAAATAGGTGCACCAACGATGAATTGAAATGGGAACCTTTTCTGAAATATTATGTAGTAATTGTCCTATTATTCCTTTCCAGGTTTATTCGGGTAATTTTCCTATCAAAGATCCCAAGGAAAAAGTCTCTTTCAACTTACCAGTAGGTAGAACTTAGTTCACTGCACCCAAGGGATAGAAGAGAGAAAACTAACAAAGAAAATTAAAACATGTCAGAAAACTCTGTGGATCTCTTCCTCTGTGATGGGAATGGAAGACTTACTGACGAAGTTCTGAGCTTTGTGCATCAGAAAAACCTTGAATCAACTCTTAGATCTTCAAAAGATTCAGGTTCAGGACAAGCAATCAAGATTATTATCACAAAAGGTGTAGGAAGCACAAGAACAGGAAGGTAGTTACAAGCAGTTAAAATGGTGGGAGATTATAGAAAGAAAAATTTTGTTCTCTTGCAACAACAACAACCAAACCTTCTTCCCAAAAAATCTTGTGGTCAGCTAACATGAGTCAAAATATGACATCGGATTTAAAAATAGTAAACTGGGTCACTAAAGCAAAATGGCTCACTAAATTGTCTGCGCTTCTTTGTTATGAAGCAGCAGTTCGTCCATGCAATTCTTAACGCGATTTTCACCATGAGTCATCCTGAAACAGTCTCTTTGTGCTTTAGTACAGGGGTAAGGTTGCGTACATCCGACCCCCCTTACCTCACCGTAGGTGGGAGCCTTTGCAGCACTAGGGTAATGATTGATGATGATGATGATTTAAAAATAGTAAATGGAAAAAACAAAAACAAAAAAAGATGCAAACAAAATCGGAGCAATCCTCCACATATACTCTCCCTCAACTTCTATCTTTAAAGTCATACTCTCACTTAATCCAAGAAGTACCATATCACTCTTGATCACTCTAATCCACATATGGCTAGGTCATTCCCTCCCTCTCCTCCCTGCCTCCTCTAACCATCTCTAAATTCGTATAACAGGTGCATCATTAGGTCTTTTACACACATGGTCAACCCACCACAATCGAGGCTCTCGCATCTTATCATTAATATGTGCTACTCTCAATTGTTTCATTCCTCAAGCGATTTTTTCTAATACGTCTACAATTCCAAAGCAACATGCGCATCTCAACCATTATGTAACACTCTATGACATACAATAATGCAAACTTAATTGTTGTTCGATAAAACTTACCCTTCAATCTAGTCGACATACCTCGATCATATAGAAATCATAATAATTTCATCCACTCTATTTTGATTCTATGGAATACATCTTCATCCAATTCATTGTCCTTCTAAATTATGGAGCCCGAGTAATGGAACATATCACGGACCAGGATCTACCACTGTTTCTATCCCTAATAAACTTGCACTTAATATACTCAATTTTACTTCAACTCAACCAGAAACCCTTCTTTTCTCTTGCAAAAGATTAACTTTTTTACTAAATATCAATAATATGAGAACTCAAAGAATATCAACATTTAACATCTATCAATCTATCTTATATCTAAATGGAAATCAGAAATTAAAGTAGGATGGAAACCAGCAAAACTGGCCAAACAAATGTACAATGATAAGGGAATTTGACAGTACAATGTTATTTGCTTACATACAACTCACATTAGTGCTCTAGCTGTCTAGCATGCTTTGTGTCACTAAATAATTAAATGGTACTCCCTCCATCCCAATTTGATGGTACCATATTTCTTTTCTGGGGTGTCCCAAAATGATGGTACCATTTCCTCTTTAGGCAAAAGTATTAATGTTCATTTTCAATTTTGCCCTTCTATTTTAATCTACAACTTTGGCATCCTATCCCTGCGACCCAACCTTTCTCATTTCCCCCCAGCCCTGCGACCGAACCTTTATACGGAGTACTCTGTATGTCCGTCTCCTCCCCTTGTTAAAGATTCAGATTGTGTTAATAATTTCATTTACCACTCTTAAGAGCTCGATGGACACAATACATAGAGTACGTTTTACGAAGTCTGATGGTCTCCCAATCTCCCTCCCCCTTCAGCAGACATAACTGAAGCAAGAACTCTCATTTTTGGGTGGGTTTGTAAACGGGAGCTTAATAAATTACGGCGAACTGATTAATTATTTCATTTAGTTTCAACGGCCATAGATCTCAATGTAATCTGACTGGTTCCCTATCCCTCTTTTTGTTTGCTTTGTTCGGTAGAGGCTAACCCGGCAAATATATTTGATTTTCCATGTGTTAATTTAAGAATGGTATGGAGATAGAGGTATGTGAATCACAGTAGAGAAGAAGATGGACAAATGGAAATGGAAAAGAAAGAGCCATAGGAGTCATAAAAGGCTGGTAGAGAAGAAGAGCGAGCAACACAAGGGGAAAAAAACGGGGGCAAATCTGGAATTTCCATATCCCTCCTTAATCTCCGTGCCCAAAAGAATTATTTGGGACGGAGGGAGTATAAATTATTTGGAAAGAAAATGATAAACGAACAAAATATCAACAGCATCAATATCAAGAAGTAAGTATGACTTACACACCTTGCACAAATCTGGGAAGACGGAATGTTCGTTAGTTACATCCAGAGCCGCAATTACAGAACAAGCAAGTTTTGATTGAGTGCGACTACCCTCCAAGCACAATCTCTCCAGGGAAGAATAAATATCACTGCATAAAAAGTAGATGCTAGACTACTGTTCAGAATAAAAAGGATGCACAAACTGGTGTTTAAATATCACAGCTAAAATAACATGTGAACTGTTAATTATAAGAATAATAGACAATGAGTATCAATACATGTCCTCACTTTAGAAGGTATAGCCAAACATGACGACTGCCAAACACATACCAGATGCATGGATTGACGTCAAAACAATAAAATAAAATATTGTCAATAAGTGAGATTGTACAAACAAGAAAGTAAGTCAAGTTTATAATTTGAATCCCTAATACTTTTTCAAATAGGATTTATGTTAAATGATGAAATAAATATCAATTTTTGGCTTGGGAATATGATGGAATAAAGCAAAATGACTCACTAAACTGTCTGCGCTTCTTTGTTATGAAGTAAAGTAACAGTCTCTCTGTGATAGGAATAAATAATTAGTGGGCCTATTCAATAAATAATTAGTGGGCCTAGTCATTAAAGAGTATGATAGAAAAGACAAGAAGTCTATTATTAGTTAATTAACTAGATAATAGTTCCTTTTATCCCTGCGTGGATATGGACTATAAATAGAAGGGGGAGTCAGCTAAAAAGGGTAGGCTGTTATTGAATTGTTATTTTGGCTTGGAGAGTGGGCTTCTCGAACAGTCCCAGCATCTGTATACCTATTCTGATTACTACCTACTTCAATATTTCACTTTCATCAATCTGTTCTTGCTTCAATCTCTGCGGAATTGTTATTGCTCTGTTGAGATTTATACCAGGTTCTATCACTCTGTGCTTTAGTATAGCCATAGGGGAAAGACCGTGTACATCCGGCACTGGGGTAATTATAATGATGATGATGAAATATATATATATATATATATATATATATATCTAAATGAAGATTATGAACATTAAAATCATAAAAATACTATTATATACCAAACTAATGCAACATCTATTTGAAATGTCTAACTTTTACCTTAAATTGATAGCATTATTTGGAACATTTGCCAGGGTTTGAAGTAACAGATCACTGAAAGGGATCACTTTTTCCAATAATAGGTGCTGAAACTGTTTCTCTAAACCTCTCAGGAGTGAAGGGGAAGCACTGATAATAGTCTGAGTATGGAGGACAAGAAACAGAAGTATTTCATGTCAAAATAAGTGTCAAACATATAATGAATTAATTAATGATATAATGTCTTAAAAAACATACCATATGTAGCTAAAAGCCTAAAATGCTATTTTAAAATCAGAAACTAAAGAAGAAAAAAGGGCAAGTTAGGTAGTAACATATTTAGCCATATAAATGCTGCTTAGATACAAGTGTCGGGATGCTAAACTCTTGAAATATCAGTAGAAAACTTGAAGTTGCATTGACTTAATGAAAGGGCATGTTTTATTTCAATATTAATGCAAATTAAGGGATGCTTAATCCATTTACAACATGATTTACTGCTCAAGTAAGTAATTCCAAGTCTTTAGATGATAGGATAACACTTGTCAAATCAAAACTGTATGCTTCAGGAATAATCATCAATATCAGCATACGTAAGATACCAACTCCAGTATAGGTCTCAGAGACAATAGCAAAAGTCTAGAAGGGGGTGAATAGAGTTGTTAGTGTTTGTCAAATCGTGTGTCAACTATCTTGTGAGTTGGACAGAGCTGGTTAGTTAGCTATCACTTGTTTTCATCAGAAGATAGGACAGAATAAATGGGTAGAGGAAAGTGGAGAGAAATGTAAGAGTTAAGGGGGAAAATCACTTCTCAAATCCCCTGATTTGGTTGAGTGATATATCTTGAGTTTGATGGCGCCCATAGCTACTCCAATTCCTCATCCTCCCAACTCTCACAAGTACACTGCAACCGAACACACATGACCACGCCATTTTCCCTCTTATACTCCAAACTCCATTAACCAATCAAGGGTTTGTAATAGTCATTGATCAGATGAGTTCATGAGTTTGGCACTCAACGGCTCATTTGAAAATGTTGTTAAAAGAATAACTTAGTTAGCCAGAGAGCGAATGTTAGCGTTTTTTACAGAAGAAATAATAAATTCATCTAGCTTTGAATTGCTAAGGCAGCTGGTTTGGGACTCAAAATGTTCTGGAAGTGTGATTTGTAAAGGAAGAAAGGCATATCAGATAGAAAACTGTGCAACAATTTGGCAATGTATTTTGAGCATGTCAAGAACATCTATGAATGACTTTACAACTTGAAATAGATTCCGGCATCATGATATCATATATTACCAATAGAAGTTGCACAGAAGAGTCCTCCAAAAGGCCAAATCTGTCAAGTGCTAGACGGTCTAGAATAATGGAAACATGTTCAGAGTTAAATATATTAAACAAGCACTTATTGAAGAGTAACTGAAGAAACTCAAAATGTGGACTGCCATCCCCAATGATTGTCATAAGATTATCCTGAAAACAAGACAGGGTTTAAAGGGCAATATTAGTAAAATACAGTTTAAAAGTCTGATGAATAAGCCCATTAAATGAATACAACAACAACATCCAAGCGTTAGTCCCAAAAGATTTTGCAGTCGGCTAACATGAACCGATACATGATATCGGAACCAAAAGGAAAAGAAAGGCATAAATAAATAACCACAAAAAAAAAACCTGGATAATAAAGACTAAACAGCAACTGTATTCCAAGATTTAACTTATTAAAAAATAAAAGAAAACAAATCCTTATATTCAAAACAGCTATTACATAAAAACACGTGATTTGAGAAAAGTCCACAATGTTGGAGAACAAAAGAACACTACTTCAAGGTCTAACAGGCTAGCATTGCTGGAGATTGTACAACACTAGTAGCCAGCATAATAACATCAAGATTAAAGAGACGGGATAAACAGAACATTAGTGTTTCACTTTCTCTCCAGTTGAATCTTCACAGAATGGAATAACACCTTAACTGAACTCACTTCTGAATATCTACAGTAAAACCAATGTTGAATTGTTTTCAAAAGCAGAAAGAGGATTATCCCTGGAGGTGCGCCTCCAATCAAGTCGCATGCAAAGGGAAACTGAGGTGCTTCTATAAAGGTACATGATGAGGCACTTCTCAAAGTTTAAGTTTTTTTAACTGTTTTTTAGGGCATACGTGGCCAGGCCTAAATGGGTAAAGAAGAGAGAAAAAAAAGGAAGACATCCTGAAGCTCTAGGGCACAGAGACTATCTTCTGCTCAATAGCAACCCCCCTCTCTATGTTTCAGCATTTCAAAAAACGATTCTGAAACCAGAACTCTATGAAACCTCTTTGATTGTTTCTGGAGCATTTCTCATTTTCTTAAAAAAAAAAATAAGAAAAACATTCTCTTTCAGAAACGTGTTTCAGCACCTCCATTTTTAATTAAAGAACATATGTCTATATTACTAAAAGTCTAAAACACGGGTCTGTGCAATGCCGCACCCCTATTTTTAAGACTTCACACCCATGCTATGACTCGCTTACCGGACACCTAGCTACTGTTGAGTCCAGATATTCTTGACAACCACAATCAAGAACTTTCTTTTACATCAATGATTTATTTAAATTGTAACTGATCAGTAAGTAACATTCATCAGTGCTGCAACATTCAGAATTTGAGATCATCATCCATCACTCCATCAGAATCAAATAAGTGATAGGCGAACAGCCAATATGAACAAAAAAGGACCTCAGAAGTTGGAAACGGAGAAAGGAGCAGAAGCTGCAGTTAGGCAAGAATCAAGTGACAAGAGGACCTCAGAAGCAGAAGAGAACAGCGCAGAACATAGGAGAACTATAAGCTCAAAAGCAAATTCATGACTTTAGAACTGAAAAGAAGGGACAGAAGTGATGATTCAAAATGGAAGAATCGGAGAAACGGAAAGCAAGGAGTCAGGATCAGACCTATGAGCAGAACCAGCATTCAAGACTAGAAGACACAAGTGTTCTACAGTCACTTGGTATAAACTACAAAACCAACATGTTTGTTAGAGATCAAATGGGCCGTCAGTCTTAGCCACTAAACTGGACATATTGCAGCTATATATAAACATGTACTCTCCCAAAACAAAGTGAGAGAGGGAACAGAGGAGGAATTATTCAAAGTTGAGACACACCCTAGTAATCTCCTACTCCCTCTGTCCCTAAAAGAAGTTCCATTTCACTATTCAATTGGTCAACTTAAATCACTCTTAATCTCTTACTTTTTATATCAAAATTTTATAAAAGTTGAATTATTTTTTGCAGGCTTTGTAGCGGGTTTAATGTAGTTTCTGAATATGTAAATTTTATTTACTAAAAATAATCCGAGTTTTCACAGGGATCATTTAACTTTATCGTCGGTCAAGCTTTGTAATCCGCAATTGGAACAACATTTAGGGACGGAGGGAGTATAATTTACTACAATGATTCCTTGTTTATTTTAAAAATAACCCACCCTTATTGCTTGGGCATTTCCTCCAGCCACTTCAATTAACAACATTTCCAATGCATGGAGTGTTCCTATATCTTTCACCTTGTTCAGCTTATAAAAGGACTCTTCTGCTTTGGCAGGATCTGCAAATGATGCTGACATTTTCACAACTGATGTCTTAATTTTCATTCGAATATCTTCTGAACCCTGGAGCAGTATGATAACCAAATACACTTCATACTAAGAACAACATTCATAACTAAAATAAGTCAAATTTATCAAGCAAAAGGCCCTCCTTGACAACTAATTTTTAAAACATGTTTATCCTAGAAAGTCAATCCATTAAAAGTAGACTAATGTTTTATATGTTGGTTACATATTTATAATTATACTTATTCAGTTTGTGGTTTTTGACATTATTCCATTAGAATGGTGTCTCGAGCTAGAAAACCAATCTTGAAAGTTGAAACCTTGTGCTATTTTGAATCTTAATCGATCAAACTGTTTGATACAGATCAACAGACTTGCATACCATTTTAACATTTTGGATTTCAACCTAGGATAACTCAATGTTTTGTAAGTATTTATAAATCTTAAATGTAGGATTTACCATTTTAACACTATGTACTTTGGACTATTTAATCCACATGGGAGTTATAGATACGGCCCTAAACTTTTATCCCTCCTTTGTCCATGCACTTGGGGGCACAAGTCTATTATAGTAGTACGATAACTAAGGCAAGCATGTTGATCTTGGAGATAGATACTGTTAACTACTAGTCCTTTAATGTTTAATTGAAAGATAAAAGTAAAGCCATCTACTAACTATTTAATCTGATAGTCCTTTCCATCAAGATGAAGTCATGCAACATATACTTAATTTCTTATGCAGTTAAATCGTAACCAGAGTAGCTGAAGTTCAAATTTGTACATCATCTTTCTTCCTGAGAGCTAAGTATACTTGCATCTCTTTTTGCAACCTGAAAAAGAATATTACATCAGAAATGGATGTGATGAATATCAGTAAACTGGAGATTAGAAACACACCTTCGTTTTTGAGATAAAATTATGTTCAACACCTTCAGATGTAGAGGTGTGAAAAGTTTAAAAATGAAGGCCCAGTGCTTAGTTATCTCCTTAGTTGAAAGAGAAGCAGGAAATAGATCCTTGGATAGCAAACGCTCAACTATTTGAGGCCTGAGAATTATAGAAACCATTAGATTACACTAGACCAAGTAAGAATTCTCTTTCCTTGACCAGTTGTGATGAGTGAATAAGCTTTACTTGAACTCTTCGCTGTCTTTTCCATTGCAAAGCATCAAAATTTTGCAAGGGATCTGTTCAAAAGAGTCACTGAAATCCATAACATGAGCATCACATTTTTTGCAATATTCATGATACACTTCTAGCAACTTCTGCAATGCTTTCTCTCTGACAGATACCTACATTTCAGATGAAAAGGAAAGGTGAGGAATTATACTGCAGATACCACTAGAAAAGTATGCAGTTATATCATGGCATATAACCTTTTTGTCACGCAGCCTATCTGAAACAAGAGAAATTGTTTTAGATGAAATCAATTTATAATTAGTCCTTGTTAAATCACAAAGCACTATCACTGCTTTTCTTCTCATTTCTTCATCAAGATCTAACAGTCGGCCTTCAAGAGCACCTGCCAAGTCCACAAAGTTTATAACAAATGATAGGCTTGGGCATATGGTAACGAAAGTGAAGTCTCAATTTTGGAAACTTACTTACAACTTCAAGTGATTCAGTCCCCACTGAATTGGCTGTGCAAAAAGTTTTTGCCCATGAAAGAGCATTGAGCCTTACTTCAACAGACTTATCTGAAAATCTGTTTAAAAACTCCATGAAGAGATGACGATATTCCTTGGCAACAAGGTTTCCAGGTAATGATAGAAGTTTTCCAATTAAATCCAAAGCTTTTATACGAACATCCACCTGATCAGTCTGTAAATTGAATTCCATGATCAAATGACTAAGTGGGAATAATAACTTCGATAATGAAGACAGATTTGACAATAATTGCAACGAAAAGTAAGTAAAATGGCATATGGATAAATTCAAATTTGAAGTTCATAAGGTGCATGTTATGTCTAAACTTACATTTGGGCTAATTTACTAGACAACTTAAAATTGTGCCAACTGCCAAATGTTTATATTTTGAGATCAACTTCTTGGGGCACTAAAGAACCCCCTATTTGTTCCCTGTGGCATTACCCCTTCTATCATCTTCAGGTTTAACCCACCCCGCATCTTGAATTCTGTGTAATTCGCTTAAAGCTATCATGATCCTTGGATGAGTGTAGCGTGGACTCATGGAGAGCACTTCGCCACAATGAGTAATGTTATTGTATGCTAATAATAATGTACAAAACGATCAAGTGTACCATACCAAATATATTAAAAGTAAGAACCCTATTCAACAAGTTGATTTAACATCTATAATCTATTATTGAAAAAGATAAATTCAGTCTAAAGTCAGTCAGCCGTACATTCTTTAGTTCTGCACTTCTGCAAATTAACTAAAGGATATGGTAAATGTAAAATGAGTTGAGAACGAATGACTAACCAGTAATTCATTTGTCAAGTTGGGAATGACAGAAATAAGTACTTGAGGAGCACACTGGAATATTTCATAAATTATTTTGTGGTAATATTCCTTCACAACACTTCCAACAGCATTTCTATTCAGTATGCAAGATATTAAAAACCTAGCAATAATGTGCTCAAGCTTGCCACCATACTTCTGAATGATGAAAACAGCCAACCGTCTGGAAGCAGATATACCCTGGAGAAGAACTAGTGAGAATATATTGAATATAGAACATTCAAATTACCTAATATAGAATTAGAAAGTACTCTGAAAAGGAATGCATTTCTTCTACTCCAGTGAGTATCAAAATATAATGTATATTTATATACAGTACTTCCAGTTTCTATGTTCCAGGTCGATTCTAGAACCAAAACACTCAAAAAAAGTATTGTGATCATTTCGGGGGTGATATTTACAATCTCAGAAACATGGGTCTGACATTTCAATATGGTGACGAATAGAGGAATCAAAAGTGTGGTTTTCCCAAAGATAAAAGAAAAAGAAAGAGAGAGAGAAAGGAGAGAAAAGAGATCGATCCTTCACATGAATATGCACCTTTCACTTTGCTCTTTCCAAAGCCATACTCTCGTCTAACCCAAGAAGAAGCATATCAGTTTTGATTCCTCCTACTCAACCTTATAGGAGGAGTAGCCCAAGGCCTTATATAGTGTTTTATTGTTTTATAGCTTTCCTTAAAAGGTTGACCTTTTAGGATGGAACTCCAGGTCTTAACAGTCTAATCTTATGCAACTAAAAAGAATCCAAGTTTGGTCTACCTTATCTAAAATGAAGACTTTCATTTTACCAACCTTTGTGTCTTTAAGAAGATTTTGCAAGATCACGTCTAGAAGCAGTTCGGGTAACTTTCCTTCTGATGGAAGCAGCTCATCGCTGTTCTCTGCCATTTTCTCTTCCAAAACATCAATCATTATTGATGACATAGAAACAACCACACTCAAGGGATGGTGCTCCCTACAAGAGAAGAAGGTAATTTTAACTGGGTGGAGGTACAAGTATAGTTAGCCATATGCTATCATATACATATACATGTAGTGTGTACAATTATGTATGTATATATGAATGTGTGTGTGAGACTATAAGCCATCTGTTACAATTCTACTACAAGCCTTTGCGGCATTGGGGTAATGATAATGATGATGATGTGATTGAATTTTAAATGAGTTTTCTGGTATAAGTGTATGACTTTTAACTATAAAACTAGTGAATCATAAAATAGTTTTGCCTCTTTAAAATATAAGATACTGAAACGGCATTGAAAAAAAATGACTGGCAATATACGGTGGCAGCTCATTGGGCTGAAGAACCAATGTTTGTCATCCGGTCATGTACTACTCCTCAGGATCTAATAGCTCACAAGTTACACAATACATCAAATGCATTAAAAAATCTCCCATCAACTGTATTTAACAGAATTTGAAATTAGAGAAAGTGAGGGCTATAAACTGTTTCTTTCCCGTCACGAAAACTAAGTACTACTACCTCAGTCCCCCTAAGTTTGGGACAAGGGGGTGTGGTGTGGTTTTTAAGAAAAAAATAGAATTGTGTGGTTGATATTGAATTGATAAAGCATAAATAAAGTAGGAATGAATTCTAACCACTCAAATATTACCAAATATGGTATGGGACAAACATAATGGGATGGACGGAAAGGGTAAAACGGGACAAAGTTAGGGGGGCGGAGGGAGTACTACATATAACTTTCTAGGTTTTAAGCGATGTTCTATTGAATTGGAAAAGATCAGATCATTCCACTATCCCTAAGAGTTTCAACTATTATAATAACTCCTGGCCAAAAAAAATTATAATAACTAAAGAGGTATTAAAAAAACTACAGATTCAATGTCATGTAGGTATGTAACTAAGCGAATTCAACTTACCTCAAAACAAAGAAAAAAGTTTTGAACATTTTGAGAACTAAATCATCAGATCCAATGTCAAGCATTAGCACACAAAAGCGAACGTTTGCCACCGTTTCCAGCAGTTGAACCCTTTTCTCCAAAAAGGCATGTTTAGTATCACCAAATTCAGCAAATATACTTAATAAAAGTATAAATATATCCTGTTTATAATGGAGAAAAGAAGCAAAGAAAGAAAATGTTAAATAAAATCATGCCATTAACTTGACTCGCGAAATGGGAAATTGGGAAGGTTAAAATATAATGTGTGGATAGTCCGGTTCATTCTGTAAAACCAAAAGCTACCCTGAAAGTTGTGTCGCTGAAACACGGATTTGGTGCCAAGACCCGAATAACTTCACAGAAGCATATACCAACAAGAAGCCTAACATCTCCATCCTTGTGCTTGAGCAACCCAAGTCTGATAAGAGAACTACTTAAGGATATTAATGCAGATTTCATTAATTCAGACTGTTTAAGATGTCCCAAAGCATCTGCAGCTTCCTGCAGCAAGATGAAATCAGATTAGTTCAGCTAAAGGATCTTATGTTAATCTGTGACATAAAACGGTCCTCTGTGTATCTCACTTGTTCAAGAGAATTTCTGCTCTTCGTAATATGATTTTTTGTTGCTTTATTGTCTCTTCTTAAAAGATTTCTTTTACTGCGGTTTACATCATTAAGCTCTCTTACAACTGTAATGCAAAGGTGCATTATACGCCCCTATGACTATGTTAAAGTTTTGAGCATTATATTAAGTATTATGGAAAACGTGAGATATGCATGCTAAAACATATTAAAAAAGAATATAAAGTTAATGAAGTTCTAAATCACATCTACAATATACAAAACCATTATCATAAAAACTGAAATTGATGGCGATTATTGAGTCAAGTAATTATTATTTTAATTCAAGTGGAGTCAATTTTATAACTGCAAAACATTAAATCCAACAAGGCGCTTCTAAATGGCGGAGGACCAATGACAGGTTTGAGTTTCTCTATTTTATTGTATGCTTCAGTTTCTCACTATTTTACTACGTGGAATCCAGAAGTAGACTAGATAACATAGAAGAGTATAAGTCCGTATTCAATATTCATCAAACATCTCCCCGTCGAACAAAACAGATCAGTCTTGTAGAAAATCACTGCAGTGACTTAAATGCCTAAACCCCCATTATGTATTCCACTAGCGCTAAACATCTAAACCTCAATATCATTTTGGAAGCCCAGTGTCACTTATCAACTAAAGCCATCATAAAGAATTGGATTGAACATCAACATTACTAGTTCATTGTTCACTTTCAAGTTGGGTCTCTTTTTCAAATTTGGTTTTCTTTGTCAGAGACCATTACTACCGTGTAACATCAACATCCCAATTACACTAGCGGGTGTGTAGATATATGAATGAAAAAGTATATTACTTGTAATGATAATAATTCCTCGCAAAAATACAAGCTTACAGGGATAATAGACGGAAGGGAAAAGTAGTTAATAAACAAACCATAGGAATAGGAAGCAAAAAATGTCACAACACGTTATTTTCTGTATTTGCGATGAGAAAAAGAATCGGGACAAATGATGATGGAAATGGACCAGTCATGCATTATGACAATATGGAGTAAGAATATATACGAAAGAATTTATTACTTTGAGTAATTTCACGAGAGTGTCTTTGCCGGGGCAAACTCCGTGAGAGTCGAACCTTCGTCCAATTTCAGCAATTCTCCCAACGGTCTCCAACTCTGATTCCGCCATTTTCTTCAGGAACTAGAGGTAGGATGTGTATTTGAGCATGAAAGTGTTTTATACTTCTCGGACGAACACTACACTAACTTGCATTTCCTGCATATACGGCCGGGAAATGTTTAATACGGAGTACTACGGTACTACCTTGATACCTTCTACCTTAGTTGCTAAATAAGCCAAACATGTTTGAAAAGGGAAAATGGAAACTAATAATCCAACCTTTAGCGGTCTTCTTTTAATAGTCCGACCTTTTCGTTATTCATGAATAATCCAACCTTTGCACTCCATCTTCATTCATTGGTCGCCGACCGGTTGATGACCTGCTATTCCGAGTTATTTTCTTATCTCTGCAAACTATTATACCATAAATTCTACCTTTCACAAAGATAATACTTTGCAAAGATAAGAAAATAACTTGGAATACAGGTCATCAACCGGTCAGGGACCAGTGAATGAAGATGAGGTGCAAAGGTTGGATTATTCATGAATAACGAAAAGGTGAGACTATTAAAAGAAGACCGCTAAAAGGTTGGATTATTAGTTTCCATTTTCCCGTTTGAAAATTATTTTATACTTCTACTCTTGTAGTGTATTACTGTTTTCAAAATTAATGTTTGATAAATATTAAATACTGATAAATTCCTTGATTTTGCAGGGGGGAAAATGGTTTTGAGAATCTGATTTTTTAAAAATTTTACAAATAAGGAATAAAATATATCAACGATAAAAGTTGTGTGTAAGTGTGTTGATAAATGTGGAAATGTAAACATTGCACAACTAAAAAGAACATAAAAGTATAATTTAAGCCCGGATTATATTGTATCTTTGTAATTTTATAATCTATATCATCTACTTTTGAAATTTCTGTGGAATTCAAGGAGTGTATTGTTTAAAGAGTTAGCGATTGATTTTTAAAAGTTCACTGTCTTTAAAAGTGTAAGTATGCTGAATGATTATGTACTTTTGTTTTTCTCTAAAACTGTCTCTTCATATTCTCAAAAGTATGCATGGATCTATTCCAGAATCATATTAGAATCGGTTAATTATCTACTCGGAATAACGAATTGACCAACTCGTCATGGATTAGTACTGGTTCAAGGGGTGGTACGACCGTACGAGGATGGTCTCGCTATTCAAGATATGTAGATTAAAAGCTAGTTTTAATCATTTTACGATAAATATTTTGAAGAGAAAAATAGAAGTGAGGTTGGTTCGATTCTTTGAAATAAAATTAGGAATCATTTGAAAAATCATTAATCCAATATCAGTTCGGTCCTAGAAATATTTTGAAGAACATGTAGTATCATATCGATACAATTCTAGTATGAGGTAGTTAATCGTTGAGACAGAAAAATATATTTAATTATGCTGGGATATTAGGTCCTGGCCCAAGCACAGTCCAAAATATCCCTAAGGAGCCCAAGCTCCGCATAAAACCACTAGGCAGGAAATCCCGCTTGGGTAGCACCGCACAGGTTTAGTCGAACGGCCCAGTTATCACACTTGGGTCATTTTTTCACCATTGGGGGCTGGCCATGGCAGAACATCAAAGGGTTATTGGCGGGAAGCGCATTTAACGCAAGAGATCCGGAGGATTTTATGATTAGGAGATCATCCACTCAAGGCGGTCATGTCACCCTCGCTCTCCAACCACTTGCTCCTAGTATAAATATCATCATTTATTTCATTCTAAAGAGAACAATCTTGTGCGCACAAGCGGCATTATACTATTCTCCAGCTCTGTAGCTCTGCCTAAGATTGGAATTCCCATTCGGCACTTCCGTTATCATGAGTTTATTATTGGAATAGTTGGTATGTTTGCATCTCCTTGTTATTGTTTCCTTGCACCTTATTCACCTTACCCAATTCATTCCATTGACAACCAAAAGAGCGTGTCCAGCCTTTGGATCATGAAGAATAAACCTCAACAAATCATTATCGTGATTTTATTTATTGCTAAACCGCCAACACACACAAAAAAACGAGTAAATATTTAACCTTATATAAGTGAATAAGTTTTAAAAAGTTGAAAATGACTAGAAAATACGGAGTAATTATTAACAAGTAAAGCTATATTCCACACATGATTGTACCTTATGTAATAACTAGTTTTGTATACGCGGGTTGCGCGAAGGGATAAATGCCCAAAGCTATACACATATATTACATTACACTTAAATAGAGTTGGCTTTAAGTTTTAATATATAAAAAACTTGATAAAAGATTTCAATTGATATCAAAAGTGAGAAGCTTGCACAAACCCCCCGAATCATGACTCATGAGGGTGTTTGATAGTTTTTCTATTTATCACATTATAAATGCCGGCTTATAACAAAGAATTCCATCTTCAATTTGTTCTAGATTGAAGTCTTGACTTTTTATCCAGTAAGGAAATACAAATCAGCCCTAATACAAATATATAACCAGCGTTAAATACAGAGCAAGAATAAAAGATATTATAGGGGCAGATCGAATTAAGTGTTAAAAAGTACCAGCAACATACTCCTACCAACAATATAATGACTTTACAATCTGATAGTATAATATACTCCGTAATAAGTTATTTATTTACTCATATACAAATGAAAGATAAATAAAAGAATTCTCATTCATAAACATTCACATTTCATACCAACAATATAATGACTTTACAATCTGAATCAGGATTTATCTCGGACATTCCCTTTCGTGCAGTCTACTTCTTTAATTTGTATTCGTTAGATTGGGGTTAGGATAAGCACCACAAAAGTCCTTCCAGTAAGATCAAGTAATGTAGAAAATTGGACAAGAAAATAAATACTTTATCGGGAAACACATTGAATGAGATATTATTTCATAATAGTATTTTTAATTAGACTAATCTATAATGGCACACTACATGAGCTAAATAATTATTTCCACTCCCTGGCTTCCATTTTCTGCAAACTCATAACAGAAGGCTCAAACAAAGTCTAAAGAGTTTATAAATACACATATTGAAATAACATGTGAAGTAATACTTCTGGATAGCCGCATAAAATTACGGGGTTTTACCATTTCTTTCTAGAAAAAGTTTTCCAATGCTTTCAAACCATAAATAGTACAGTGACAACACCCTTGAATAGGAATCATTAAAGGAAAAAGAACTATCCTAGAAAAAATTATAACATCCGCAACAATAAAAAAATTCTTGATACAACTTAACAATCAAGAGCCGTGATAAAAATAACATGCCTAACCCAGGAATGTGTTTGAAATATCTTATTTTTATTAAAGTTTCAAGAACTAAAAAGTCTTACAAAAAAGTGTCACATACAAATATGATGTGTATACAAAAGAGAAACAATTTTTTTAGCATTTTAATAAACACTTATTACTATTTAGTTTACCTATGAAAACTCTAGTTGACAAGGATAAGTTCTATAGCAAGACGATTTTCATAAGGAAAAATTCACATAAATAATCTCACCTTTTTCAGTTCTTCCATTATTAATCCCAAATATAAGTATTCCTAAAATAATTTGATTTATACAGGTCATCTTCTCAAATTAAGCCCATGACCGGAACAGAAGAATTCCTCAGGTCACCCGAGAGGTGTTTTAATCTGATTAGACCTCACTCATTTTTACTTTTCCATTTTTCCCCTTCCCTTCTATATTTCTCATTCTCTTCAGCTCTAGTCCGATTTCTCTTCCTTCGTTTCTCTTCTATTCTTCTTCTCTTTTATTAGATCTCCTTTTCCGTCCATTCTTCTTAATTTCTTTTACAAATCCAGTCCTCAGACATCCAACTAAAGGGAAAAACAGAAGAAGAAACCGGAAATAGCCGCAAGAGAACCATCGGAGCCTGGAGAAATACTGTTCCGGCGAGGACCTCAGGACCTCCATTCGATCGTTCAATTAGAAGCAGACTCGGATGCCCTCCCTCGCTCGATACCAGTAGCAGGATGTTCCTCCATTTCATCTTTGACGAGAGAGTTACCTTGAAGCAACGAAAGTGCCCACCGTCTTTTCCGCCGCCACCTTCCTTTTAGCCAGCGTTTGGAATTGATTCAAGAAGAAGATGAAAGTGCCGGCAACACCTTTGTTTCCATGTGGATTGAACTATTGTTGTGGTCCAAGACAAATTGTGCAAAGGAAGATGAACACTTCTTACATGTCTTCTACGATGAAGAATGAAGATGACGATGCATGGATGGAGTGGATTCAGATACAAAACAATTTTTTTTACTGGTTTAGAAAGTAGCAGGTGACCTAGATCAATGATGGAAGAACACACATGAACTTAGGATTATATTAGAATTACACGTAGTTGGGATTAATATTAGAAGAACATGAAAAGGTTGGATTATTCTTGTGAATTTTTCCTTTTCATAAATATGCTTGAAAACTATTGTGTTAAAGAATATATAGTTACAACAACAATTTCTAAGCCTTATTCCAAAACTATTGTGTTAAAGAATATATAGATAAATATAGAGAAAAATGAATATATCTTGATTCATATTCTTAAATGTCTTGATACAAACTTTTGAAATAGCAGGCTTTAGTTACTTAGCATTATCCTGATAGAAATTTTAAAATGCTAAAAAAAATGTTAAAATAGAGAGAAATTAAAGAAACCATATGACATTTTAAAAAAATTTGCTACCAGCCTAATTAATGAAAATGTGCCTTTCAATTCCACTCTATCTAGCCAATCAAATGTCGTTAAATTCGTTAATTATATGTTCTCTACTGTCACAATTAGAAGTTTAAACAGAGTTAAGGCGATCCTCTAACTTTATCGCCTCTGTGTTTTGCATTACTTGAGTTAAAGGATCACCGGTCCATTCACTTGGCCCTTGTTCAATATATGTTGTGGAACCAGTAATTCCATTATTTATGAAAAATAAACCTGGTGTATTTTTTAAGGTGGAGAAATCAGAAATGGTTGTCATTTTTTAGTCTGGCATGTTCCTCCTGAAAGGTTTGATAGTAAGTCCCTTCATAGTATACATATGTATGCAGTATGCTTGTGTAGTTTTTGTTTTAGGTGGGTGATGTAGTGTATTTCATTCTAATTGGTGATAAACCCATTAGGAAATTCATCGATTATTAGTATATAATGCTTTATCATATCATATTGATGTGATTAAAGTGAAACCAATAATTCCATTTGTTATTGGAGGGATGACAAACAGACCCTAAGCCCTCTATTTCCATAGAACACAGAACAGTTTCAAATACTATTTTAAAAGTGCATAAATCTAAAATTGAACCTACCGAACTTGTCGTTTCAATTTGAAGGAGCCCCCTTTGCCCAAATGAAATTCGAAAATGAGATTTGAGAAGTTTGGTAGTGTACTCTGTGAAGAATACGTAGCTACATAGAGGAGTATCAAATTAAATGACGATTGAGAAGAAGACAAGGCTGGCGGTAGGCTTGCTTCTGAGCGGTGCGAAATGGGTGAGTAGAGCTGGCTAACCTAATCAATGTGGTGAGATGAGTGACACGTTGTGGAATTGAACGGGACAATCGAGATTGAATTGACCAGAGGTTTTTAACAAGGATGACGGTGGATAGACAAACAGAGGTTTACTCATGAGCAAAATAGAATAGAGTACATTCACTCAAGCACACTGTACACATTTATTAAGCTATGATGTACCACCAACAAATTTTTAATACCTAAAATATCCTTACCTTGATTCATGCTTATAATATTGTAGAGATGTAGAGATAAGTGTAATAGTTGTATAACGCTTATCATTCTTACGCATTAACTTATGTAAACAATGAGTCAAAACGAGACTGGATTTTCGAGTCATCGTCCTAATATTGAGGTTTGTAATTTAAGTAAATTTGAATGCTTAGACGTGGTTTGCTCTTGTAGACCTCCACACTACTAGATGAATTACCCTTGTTTCATTTGTTTTTGAATTATTTCTTATCGTTTTGTATAATTATGTAGTAGACCAGTACATTATTTAGACTTATGCATGTTATTAAATATAGATCTTGTTTAAATTTGTGTTTTCCATAAGATTTATATTATGGTTCATTTGAAATTCATTGATTAGGCTCATCAATATGAATAAGAGCATCTTCAATGCTCTTCTTTCAACACAAGTTAAATTTTGCCAAATGTCAATTAAAAGAGGGCGCTTTAGATCCACAAGAAATACATATCCAAAGAAATAAAATATACACCCTCAATGCATACTGTTAACCGCATGAAACATTATCCTCCCATCATTTATCTAATTCCAAAATAAAATAGATTAGGAAACGTAAAATAGTAGATTGACTCGGAAATTACTGATTTGGAAAAGAAGAAAGCCCACGGCAGACAATAACCTATTTCCCATGGAAGATCTACAGTTTATCTAGATGTTTTCCTCCACCATCACTCATTTTTGCAAAGCTTAATCAAGATCTACTTTAAAGTTTAAATTTGTGGTAAAATCAAAGAAGTTCTTCTTGATAAAGTTTGGGATGAAAAATAAAAATCACGGAATCCATCTTTTGATATTAATTGCCACTACACATCTATATATATATAAAAACGGAAAAGTGGGGAGGGAATTTGGGCGGGAACACTGTAGCATCTTGGGAATACTATTGAAAAATGTTAGCAGGGGCGATGAGTGTGTTTTGGGATTCGCATTAAACAATAATTTGCTAGAAAAAGTCGAAATTAATTTGGCATTATGTTGCCAGATAATGCATGAACTGTCTTTTGGGATTTCCAAAAGTGTGCATTGATTATAGCTGTTAATTAATACTCCTATTGAAAAGTCCCAGTACCAGGCCAGGTATCTTTTGGATTTCCCCATAAGCATTTGTTAAGCATATGGCCGGTCAGCTTCTCCCTTACGTACACGACTATCACACAGTCTCCTATATATATAGGCTAGACCTACATGTTCGTTAGCACCAATTCAACCTGCCAAGGTGCCAACCAACGTAACCAAACCAAGCGTTTGAAAAGATATGAGAATTCAAGTGAAGGTGAATAGGTATCACTAAAATCTTTGGTGATATGCATGCAGGAATGAAACGTCTGCAAAGGGTTGCTTGGCGGGTTTGTGTCAATCACCGGCAGGCGATCAGTAGTAGACAGATGGGCGGCCATACTATGTGGGTTTGCAGCCGCTTGGTTTTGTAGCGGAGAAAATGCATTATGATCACCCATTGGAAGCGGCACACCTACAAAGCGCTTAGGAGCATAGGGGATGATATTCACGGCCCTGTTTGCGCAGAAAAAGTATATGAGCGAAGTGTTTTTGGTTGTCGCCGTAATGCCGTTGATGGGCGGCAGAGTGAAGTTGTTGATGGCCCATCTGGTGCAGATTGCGGTGATCTTGGAATGAACGATTGGACAATGGGTTCGCTTTTTCGTGTTGCACAAATTGAGGCTTTTGAGAAATTGCATGAAAAAAAGATGGCTGGTATGGACTTCACTATCCATGTAGATAATGCTTCTAAGGCAGATGAAATTAGGGGAGCCAATAAAATGGATTTCCCCATAGTCACCCAGCAGCAAGTTAATTCATTAATCAATTGTTAGTTTGATAGATGTGATTATCATGTAGTAATGAACTAATGCATTTAATAATCAAGCTCGCAATACGTACTGTTTCATTCATTTTATGATTCATAAAAGAAGAATGAAAGAATCAGTTTGCATGATTATAAAAGAACATATTTTAGAGGGTAAAAGTGATGAGTGTTTTGTGCATAGACAAATAACATGTTTTTTTTTGGTAAAACACAAATAACATGTTTTGATTATATGTGGGATATATATTTCTGGAAAAATAATTAAAATACCCCAAACTTTGAAGAGGTGTGACATAAACACCCCCTCAAATAATCATGTAATTAAAATACCCCAAACTTTATATAAAAAAGTTATTTTAGCACCATAATCATGTATTATTTATTTCAAAATTGTAATTTTGTGGTGTTAATTGCATAATTTAAAATGGCAAATTGAAAATGCTGCGATTATATAGAGTGGGAGGTGATACTATTTATTTTATAATTAAAGTTTAGAATGTTAATTGTTTCTCAATTCATGAATGTTAAAATATTTTAAATTATGAAATTATCACAAAATTAACATTTTTGAAAGAAATAATACATAACCATGGTGCTAAAATAACTTTTTATATGAAGTTTGGGGTATTTAAATTACATATATAAGTTTGGGGTACTTACCTCACACCCCTTCAAAGTTTGGCGTATTTTATTTATTTTTCCCATATATTTCATGGTATGCAACACACACAAACACATTAGTAAATAATGAAAGCAGATAATTATGTACTCCGTAACAAATAACAATATGACTTCTTGCATTAAGTAATACGGAGTAATCTAAATAAAAATGAAGTTGTTTTATCAAGGTAATATGTAACACGTACGTATTCCTTGCTTGAGCATAGTGACAAACACATTGACAAACATACATGTGTGATTTTTTTTCCTGCATGTAACATATTGAGTTGATGTATACTTGGTACGTAGTATAGCTAAATGAAATCAAAAGGAATTGAATGATTTGATTACCTAATCTCCGACTATACACCTTAAATTTGTCGCCTCCTTGAATCCCTTACATGAAAAATTACTAAACACTTTAAATTTGACACCTCTTTGATTCATTTAAAGGTGTTTCAAATATAACATGTGCATAAAATGCTTTGATTTTGGTGGATTTGTATGCAAAAATACCTCACCACTATCCTCCGAAGACTAACGATGCATGTAACTTACAAGTGATGGGGTATTGTTAACAAGTACTCCGTAACACTTTGCAAACTTCTTATGCTTAGATTACTTTAGCTAAAGCAAGAAAATGGAGTACCGTCTGTTGGGAGGAAAAGGTAAAAGGTTTTATTTGATCTTAGCTACGATTATTGGTAGGCTTTATTGAAAATTAAAATACCTATAGAGCCTTTTCAAAATTCAAGAAATATAATGGTAACCAAAATTTAACTAGGGGAGATAATGGAGAAGCATTTGGGTGGAAGTGACTTTAAAAATTATGTGGGTGTTACAGTGATATGTGTTGAGTGGCTCTGATCCACTGGTAGATTTTAATATAAAAAAATCTATAGTGCCATTACATGGTTAAAGAAAAGGTGAGAACTATGATATCCAATTAATAAAAAATGAGGTATCACACCAAAAATAGTGCCAATTATATTGGAAATTATTGAGTAGATAACCGCCCACATTAGAAGCATTTCAATACATATTGAGATAGACGTACTTTACAAATTACAATGATGTATTGGATAGCTCCATGTAGTAAATGATTCTCTATCTTTACCAAATGCAAAGTATATACAAAGTATATGTGTGGTATTCTTTTGTTCCACAACCAAACATTAGGACAGAACAACCCTGTGTGGGATGTTATCATGTGCACTCATGATCATTTGGGTCCTAATGTGGCTTTTGATAGAAGTTGTTTTTGTAGTCATGCCCAATTGTTTATTACTATATTGTTTATTCATCCGTTATCGCCTTATCGGTCATACTTGGTTGAAAAATCCTATACATAACAACGATTGTAAACATACAAATTACCTTAGAATGATATACACACACATATATATAAGGAAGTGTTTCAAAGTTCATAAATCTTTATTTTTTTTTATCTTTTATGATTCATTTTATTAAATTGAAATTAAGTTTTCTTTACTAGAGTCATATTAATTTTGAATACTCAAATAAACACATTCACATATTGGAATAATATTCCGTGCATCGCACGGGTACTATACTAGTTTAGCTTGAAAACCGGATAGATATTGCCGAGTCAGCATGTTAGACACCCTTTCTAATTTCCAACACTTGGTTTGAAAGTTGTGTTTCCACGTCAATTTAACAGGACCAATAACTGAAAGCATTGGAGATAAAATTTCAATCACACTTTCAAAATGGTCTCACGTGTAAAATTTTTACTATGTTGAAAGAGGAGCATTGGAGATGTTCTAATTCATAAAAAGTCTATGAATTACGAAAGTCAATAGATCTTTTTTTTTAAATCCACCACAATCATGTAGTTTACCAGTACGGTGTTTAAACTTATGCATGTTACTAAGGGGTGTTTGGAACTGATTCTGCTTATGCTTCTTTTTAAAGCAAAAGCAGAATCACAATCAGTTTTCAGAAGCTGGTCTCTCTCAGCTTCTAAAAAAATTGATTCTAGGAGTAAATTATAGCACCGAAATCACTTCTGTACTTTCACCCAAACACTCCAACACCTGCTTCTACTCTCTGAAAGAGCAAAAACAGTTTTAAGAATCAGATCCAAACACCCCTAAATATAGCTCTTTTTTGAACATAGGGTTTTCCATAATTCCCATGTTATAAGGGTGATTCCCGGTGGTCGCGACGAGAACATAGGGTTCATGTACGGTCGTCGCGATTTGGGGCGGTTCCCGGTGGAATTTTTTGATGAGATTTTTTGAGCATCTGATTCATCAAGTCTAGTTTACTCATACCAAATTTCAGCTAAAAATTTAATCGAGAGCGCATTCAAATTAATTTGAGAACGCAAAAATGCGCAGTTATCTTCAAGAATTAATTTGAATGTGTTCCCAATTGAATTTTTAGCTGAAATTTGGTATGAGTAAACTAGACTTGGTGAATAAGATTCTCAAAAAAATTCATCAAAAAATTTCACCGGGAACTGCCCCAAATCGCGACGGCCGGACAAAACCTCCTATAGAAGGACTTAATTGACCTTTTTATGAAAGTTCGAGGACCTATTTGACAGTTTTCCCAATTTATATTATCATTCATTTGGAGTTCATAGATCTAGGCAAATCAATAGAAATAGTTCATAAAAATCCCTATTGACTTAAAAAGTCAATGATCCTTTTTCTAAAATTCACCGCAATCCATATAATATACTACGTATATCTTATCTATTTACTCCCTCCGTCCCGTTGGAATGTTCTCGTTCACTATTCATTGGTCAACTTAGGTCACTCCTAATCTTTTACTTTATATATCAAATTTTTATCAAATTGAACTTTTCTTAATCAGGTTTTGTAGCGATTTTAATGTAGTGTCCGAATATGTAAATTTTATTTACTAAAAATAAGCGCAATGTGAACATGGATCGAGTTGCTTTATCGTCCGTCAAGCATCGTAAACCGAACGGGAACATTCCAACGGGACGGAGGGAGTATTTGATCTGAATATCTGATATTTCACTTGTCTGACCCTTCACTCCTTCCACCGTTATGCTATGGTCCTCTATAACTACTTCTTTCCACGTCTTCTTTATCTTTACTTTTCAATTTCATCAACATTTCTCAATTGGGATAAGGGTCAGTTTGGTCCTCGAAATTGCAAAAAAGGGGTCAAATAAGTCCTTATATAGAAGATTCTGTCCGGACGTGCCATTTGAGGTGGCTCCCAGTGAAATTTTTTGATGAAATTTTTTGAGCATCTTATTCATTAAGTCTAGTTTACTCATACCAAATTTTAGATAAAAATTCAATCGGGAAGACATTCAAATGAATTCTTGAAGATAACTGTGTCGTTAAAAGCGCTGTTATCTTCAAGAATTCATTTGACTGTCTTCCCGATTGAATTTTTAGCTGAAATTTGGTATGATTAAACTAGACTTAATGAATAAGATTCTCAAAAAATATTATCGCAAAATTCCACCGGGAGCCACCTCAAATGGCACGTCCGGACAGAATCTTCTATATAAGGACTTATTTGACGCCTTTTTTGCAACTTCGAGAATCAAACTGACCCTTTACTCTTTCTCAATTCTATTAAATCAAATTTCGATTTGATTACAAAAATACTAATCGTACTCTTTCTCTAATAATTTACATTTTTTTAAAACCGCTCATAAATGTTAAATCCCCACCAACTGCCTAAAAATCTAAAGTGAAAGTCTATTCAATAAATGAATACAAAATGTTACCATATGTATGTCTATAGAATGTGTAAGTGGAGAAGTGATCCTGTCCAGCAATTTTTTGGTCGAACGCCGTCCGAACATGACCATTTGGGGCACTTCCCAATGTAATTTTTTGATGAAATTTTTTGAGCATGTTCTTCATCAAGTCTAGTTTGTCCATATCAAATTTCAACTAAAAATTCGACCGGGAAGGCATTCAAATAATTTTTTGAAGTTCACCAAGAAGTGCCCCAAATGGCCATGTTCGGACGGCGTTCGGACTGGGGGCTGCTGGACGCCTGGACAGGATCATCTCTCTATGTAAGCGTAAAAAATCATTGAAAATAGGGAAAAGTACATAAAAGGTACATGTGGTTTGGGACGTTTTCAGATATGGGCACGTGTTTCATTTTTTAACAAAGTGGAACATGTGTTTCAATTCCGTTATCACAGCAGGGGCATGACGTCTAACGCCGTTAGAAAATCTAACCCCAATTTTCAAAAGTCTCCGAAACATTAAAAGAAAAATACCGAGAGGTGCGCCTCGTCAACCAGATATTTCCCAGTATTATTTGTCTAAAACTAATAAATTATCACAA